ACAGTTTAAATCCTGTGATTGTTCCATGTCTGGAGCCTACTGGTGGCAGCTGCCAGGATGCTCTAACACTTGTGGAAGACAGTGGAGACACAGCAAAGCTACTTGGAGCTTGGCTTGGAGCTAAAAATTAAGAAATGACCAAATTTATGACGCAGTTGAAGGCTATGCAATACAATACTCTAGATCTGGTGTTGCAGAAATTAAGGCAAAATACAGAAATATAGAAAATTTTATTTCACGAGTGGCTTTGCGCACGGTGTAGGTGTACAATTGCGTAACAAAAACGGTCTCATGCTAGATTTCTTATGATTTCTTGTCATTCTTAAAGCCAGTGATCATAAAACTTCACAAAATGAAACTTCCAATTATGTGCACCCCAAAAAGCGAAATTTTCTGTCTGAAAAAGATTTATTAGAAGAACAATAACAAAATTCCGAAAACAGGTCAGGCAAAAAGTACCGTTTTCCCCCCATTTTTTGACCCAAACGTAAAGTGCATTATTATAATATTTAACTTCTTAGTGTAAACAATTCAATTCAAGAAGGTGTCTCCAAAGTGCAACTAAATTTGGCTTTAAAATGGTAGAACTCTTTCATTTGTGGTTGTATTTGTCCAAAAAATATGATTGAAAAACTAGCGTGAGACCATGTTTTTAACTTCAAAACTTTGACATTTTATCGCGCCTTTGTTCGCACGTTTCGAGCACTTTTTTCCTTTTTTGCCTTTCACACGAATTTTCCGTTTTGCCAATTGCGCCTCCGGCATTGAGCACTTTTTTTGCCCCTCAGGCCTGGCTATTTTTACAATGTTGTCGTTTTGCTAATTTTGCCTTCTGGGCGCTTTTGTCGCTTGAGCTTACGCATTTTGCTTTGCTGGCGAACAACACCGTAATAAAGGCTGAAGTACACGAGCGGTGCAAAGTACTGACAAAAACCCGAAGGGAGCATTTTGTGATACTGACTTTTAGTGATGTCATTTTCACAGGCGAATGCTCATTTTAGATTGAACATTATCCTAACCGATCCTTCCGAAAAGTTGGCGAACAACACCGTAATAAAGGTCAACCAAGACATCGTTGTTTGGTTTCTCTTCATGCGGAAACCTTTCAATCCCTAAACTCGACTCGTCCATCCTTTCCCTTATTTGGACATAACTTGGGGTTGTCCTCAATAACAAAATGGCCTCGATGAACACGAAATGGAAAAGAAGATGCAGGGAAGATGCTTGCTTAGTGCGTGTAAAAAGAAATAAAAAAAGACATAAGATGATTCGTTCTGTCATTTTCTCAAGATCACTGGGCTGGACAAAACTTGGACAAACGTGTATTTAAAGTTACATTGTTTCGAAATCCTTGGTAAGCACTCTGATAGCGTAACTTACTAGCATGTGGCGTTCTCATTTCTCCATTTTTGTGATTCGAAAGAGCTCGTTTAACAATAATTTGCAATGCTTTGCCTTGCAAAACCTGTAATATGGTTAAGGAAGCTTACATTCGGAATTGAACCAACTCAGTTTGCTGGACTCGAAATAAAGGCAAAATATGCAAAAAGTCAAAAGGGCACGATTGTTTTGCTGGCATGAAAAGGCAAAAGCAAAAACCACCAAAACGAGTAACGTGCGTGATTTTGGAAAAAACCAAAATTTGCCAAAAAGGCAAAAATGGCAAATCGCGTCTGCAATGAGCGCGATAACAGTAGCGTAAAATACGGCCCGATGTGTTACGCTACTTGTGAAGTTTAGAATGGAGAGTATGGGTGATTTTGACTCCTTACAAGAAAGGCACAACAGCTTTTGAGACATAGCTAAGATGGAAGGAAACTACATGAAAATCGCTACAAGATGGTGCTCATTTGAAGANTACGCAAAAAGCCAAAAGGGCGCGATGTTTTTGCTGGCGCGAAAGGCAAAAGCAAAAGGAGCAATGTGCGCGATTTTGGCAAAAAGCAAAATTTGCCAAAAAGGCAAAAATGGCAAATCGCGTCTGCAATGGGCGCGATAAGAATTGCGTAAAATACGGCCCGATGTGTTACGCTACTTGCGAAGATTAGAATGGAGAGTATGTGTGATTTTGACTCCTTACTAGAAAGGCACAGGCTCTTTTGAGACGTAGCTAAGATGGAAGGAAACTACATGAAAATCGCTACAAGATGGTGCTCATTTGAAGAGAAAAAAATTAATAACCTGCGAATTACAGCATTTCTAAAACAAATTTTCATCCAATTTTTGCTAATTTTGATTTGTACACCAACATCGTGCGTGAGGCCCATTACATGCACATTTGTTTTAGCACTTTTTGGGAACATATTCTGTCCACATGCAAGTTGCAATATCATCACAACCTGTACATACTGTACATTGTACAGCAAGTATAATGAAAGATTTGATACCAAGAAGCTATCCAGAAGAGGTTTTAAGTTCTACAAACATGCTTACCCTGCTTAGATCCTTGCAGAGCATCCTCACCATCTGCTGAACCATTCTGCTTGGGCTTGTCTACTTCGTCAAAAATCAACACACATAAACATGAGTCGAGTGCAGTATACACAATCAAGGTTGATGAAAGCTTCTAGAACTGCATATACCATTTCCCTATACCTTAACTCTATTTCTCCTTTCCCAACGCTATGAAGTTTATCCTAACTATGTGATCAGACAGAGCTTTATAACTTTTTTCTTAACTAATACCCTAACCAAGGCTACATCTTATTTTTTTACTTCATAATTGTGTTTTCTATTAAAAAAACTCTATACATCTATACAGGCACTGTTTGCTCGAACACTCCCACATGCAAAAAAACATTTTATTTTATTGGAATTTCCAAATGATCAACTGTTCGTCTAATTACAAGACATGCTAATACCTGAAATTCCAGTTTGATTCCTAACAAGACTCATCCACTGCTTCACAATAACTGAGGCAAGTTTTTTGACATCTGAAAAGAAATGGGAACAGTTTTAAAAAAATCAAAATGGCAAAAAGTAATAGAATCTTATACACTTTTAAACTGGTATTACCAGCTCTGAACTGACATGTATACATGTGTAGTGCTAACCCACAGACCATTTTGAGTTTACCTTGATTCTCCAATTTTGTGAGATGCTTGATAATTTTGCCTGTATTACCCTGCAAGATCATTAATTTCACTTTCAGTTCCTGTTAGCATGAACCAAGTATTACCCATATATTGCCTGCACTTGATTTGCAGGAAAGGGGAATAGTGGAAGGTAAGGGGACTCTAGGCATGAAAAGAAAAAAAGACACTTCTCATCATAAGACAAATGCAACTTGACATAGTCTATGAAAGCTGACCATCAATCACTTGACTTCGGTCTAAGAGTAAACATATCAACCATAAAATTGAAGAAACTAAACATTTCAAGACTTACTTGTTTTAATGTGTCTATATTTACAGGGAGATCTCTCAGGACCTAGATCACATGTAAAGTAAAATATCATGTGTCAGATTTAAACAGTTAACATTTCACATACAGTGTATTATGTAATGCCACCTTGTACTGCATTACATTTCAAAGCAGGCAAAATGTTCTTCATCTCTTTTTACCTCAAGAAGTTCAACCAAGACTGGAAAATTTTCGTTTTTCTTTGCCTCAACAAGCCATCTGTTGAGTATACTCCAGCCCCCTATACTCATAAACCTGTTAAATAACAAAAGAATAAACAAAAAAATTCATCTACATGTATTTAGTATTGTAATATATAACATGCGTATAAAAATAGTTATACGTACATGTATTATAGCAATTTAACTCATCAAAAACAGATGAGGTTGGGGGTTGATGCCTAAAAGGATGGTGGGACCGAAAGCATAGGAGCCGAGCGCCAAGATATATATCCATGACAACCCAATGAGCGGCAACCACCATCTGGCACTGTCACACTATTAGTAATGTAATATACAGCATGCATATAAAAATAGATATACATACAGGCGTTATAATTATAATAAACTGCTTTCAGAAACTTACTCACAGATATTTTGCTTCAATATTATACCAACTGATATAAGTCATTTAAATGTTGCAACATTAATGTTGGAAATCTGATGTCATTTAAGCTTCTTTTTCATTAGCTTGAGAAATATGAAACCAGTTTGGTTGGTATCAGCTACAGTCGAACTGTCATGAAATCAAAAACCTCCTAATATGTATTATATGTAAGGCAAACTGACAGCTCAGTCAACAGATCGCTGTCATAACTGATATCACACTGAGCAATTTACCGCAAGAGTATCGAACTTCACATCAGCTGATTCGTCAGGGTGGGGTGGGGGAGTGCATGTTGATTCACCAGACTATGATTTTATGAAGAATTTTTCAACAACAAGAAATATTATGGAGGGTTCATAACAAGACAGCAAGAGTAATGTGTATATACTTTTCTAATGTTTCACTTGATGTTTCATTTTCCTTGGCAGCTGAGATTGTAGCCTTCAGGACATTAAGGTAAATGCAACGACTCATCAGCTTCTCTGCATCTCGCATTAAACTACAGAAAAGAAAAGGAATCCTTTGGTTTAATATCATCTTAAGGTTTAAGCAACTATGGGAAAAGAGCATGGCAATATACATGTATTAATAAATCAGTTTCCAATGAAAATGATGGGGAAGTTAAGTAAATTATCCACTTAAGAAGGGGGGGGGGGAGGGAGGGGGGAACAGGATGGTCAGAACCTCCCACTTCCCGTACCCAGCTCTCCTCATTCCCGTGCCTTCATCTACTGACTCCCACCCTCATCTGTCTTGCTCCCCTCTCCTGTAAATAAGGAGACTCAAAAGACATCCTAGTCATTTAGCTGCGCAATCCTTAGGCGTTTCTTTTCCTTTTTTCCTTCGCTTTCAGCCTTGCGCCTCTTACTCATGTCTTTTGACAGCTCAAGTGACAACATTTCATGACCTATGATGCAACCACCATAAAAGGGTTTCCAATTTTACTGAAGTAGGCCTCAGTTTTTCAGCCCAAGGGTGAATTTTCATTTTTCCATCAGTCCAGAGGTCTCAAAATAAGCTAAATGTAAGTAAAAAAACATTTTGGGCTCTTGCTTTTGAAAGTATTTTGAAGTTAAATAAATGATTCCCGCCTTCTTAGACCTCCGGCATCCTGCACCTTCCTCTCCCACTTCCTGCCTTTCCGCCCTTTCCTCTTCCGCCTCCCGTCCCCCTGTTCCCCCCAACACTTACAGTTACTATTCTAAGGCTTAATTACACTCTGTTTTCTATTGGAAAGCTGACATTTTGAGGCAGAAAATTAAAAAAAAAAAAAAACAAAGGAAAAAGAATACTGCCAAGAACTCCAGGCCACAGGGCTTTGCACTACAGAGTAAATAGAAAGCGTTACAAGTAAAAATCCGATTTAGATCAGCTGCACCTCGAGCAAGTCTTAGGCTTCTCTCGTGCCCTCCAAACTTCCCACATGCATCCATAACTCAATGTATGCACACTAAGCATGAACCAATTCTTTAGTTCTCCATGTACATGGAATATAAAACAACGTAGTTATCTTACCATAGAAGGAACTTTTATATTATACAGTGGAACCCAGTTAATACGACCACCTTCGAGCCATGGAAAATTGGTTGCATTAACTGGATGGTTGAAGTAAAGGGGTTCTTTAAATAAGAAAATGACTGACTGAGCTATTTTTGGGCCAGAATAAAGTGGCCGTAATAACGAGTTGGTCGTATTAATGGGGTGGTCGTAAGGTGGGGTTCCACAGTACTCACTATACAGTTACCAGGCTACTATGTACCTTACTACACGCACAACTTCTTGTGGTGTCTTAATGTCTCCTAGAGATCCTAACATTGGTTTGAGGGCATTAAGTAAAGTGCGAGGTTCACCACCTGATGTGCTCTGTAACAAGAAAAACAGATGCTTTCATGTCAAAATTTCATGATCATTTGCAACAGGAATAATGAAAATCACATGTAATGCTGATATCTGTACTTGTGTAGACATCAGCATCATGTATAGTTTAATGTACGTATGTACTTATCAAAAGGTTTGGAAACAAAACAAGTTTTTTAAACAAATGGCCTGTTAATCTCCTAACCGAAAAGAACTAAATGAACAATAGAGCTGTAAACAATCAATCCCTGCCCAGTTTTCAAAAACCCTGCAAGAGACTGTAAAGGAAAAGTCCCATTGCTGTCACCATGACAAAGACACTTCCTTCAACTTAAATATATTTTTTCTGCTCATTTTTATTGATGCTTTGGCAAAGATTGATTAATGATTAATCTTTTGTCAGACAGCTGTATATAATTTCTTACCATGTTTCTTTTTCAATTCTTATCTTTTGGGCTTTGTTCTTTTGTCAGTCATTTACCTGAAAAAACATGTGAAGTCAGTTGTTAACAGTTTTCACCAGAAAAATGAAACTTCTCTGAGACAAAGTTTCAAGGAAGATCAAAGCTGCACATAATATGTGTATTCTGTTGTCATATATACCAAGCCTGTTTTAAACCCAAAGACATTCAGGTCACATTAGCTCTCAGATTACATTGAAAATATTTGCCGCTGTTTTAGGGCTCATTTCGCTGTTTCACTCTACTTTTAGTGCCTATATCTGATCAGATATGTCATCAACATCATGAGCTTCCTTGGTAGTAATGTGCAACCATCCTAAACATGAATAGTGAATGTACACTTGAAAAAATCAATAAAACAAAACAAAAATAAATTTCATACAACAGTAACAAAGCCAGTCACTCATTGACTCACGAACAATTTATGAGAATCCAAATTGTTTTTAGAAGTCACAACATATATAATCTACTTCGAAGTACTCTTTGTCACTTCATACACAACATTCAGGATGTAAATTCATTTTCACTTTTCCTTATTTTAAGATAATTTTTAAGTATCACAGCCAGACATAAATCAAACTTAAAATGGTTTACATCTTGAAGGCAAGACATTAGGCTTGAGATGAAGTAAATATCATTTTCTGTTTTGGTTGTTTTTATGGCAGAGCAACAATTTAATACAGGTATTGAAATTTAATCATTGACCACGCTCAGTTACAAAGCTAAAGCCTTTATATCCACACTGGTACAAAAAATGCAGTAAGTATCACAAGCTTCTAATTTAGCCATGGGTAAACATGTACATGTGGAGCAAAAACCCACAAAAATATCCACATGGACTGAATGTCTGCCTACACAACACTAAAAGATTTGCATTTTGTTGCAAGGAGTATGTGGTACTTTACTTTTACATAACATCTAGCATCAAAACCAATGGTTACTCAAACATAATCTAGAATTTGTGTGTAATGTATATAAACTTCCTTTTTGCCACATGCAACCAATGGAACTCTTAGCCAAACTTATTTAAGAAATTTTCTCTCTTTTTGTCTCTTATCATTGAGTATCATTAATATTTTGTGAGTTACGGGAGCAACTCATTTGTTATTTTAGTGGGATGCACACCCACACTAATGATTGTGTAAAGTGAACAAGTTTAAAGATCAATGGCCATTTCCTCATTCCAATAGACTTTTTAACCACCACCCCAGGAAGTGAACTCATTACACCAAGACAAAATTTCTTATCTGTCCAGTTAAGGCCCTAAACATAATCAATTTAACAAGAGATTTCCTAGGCATCTTTTTTAGTTTTCACACACTCAAGATTCCACAAGGAATAAGTACATTCTATGCATTTCCCTTGTGTAAATTTAACCGCCAAACTTAATAACTTGAGGCCATTTTCAATAATTTTTGGAAGTTAACTTCCCAAGATCATTCTTCATGAATATTAATGACCACGTTTGGCAATCGCTTCGCGTCCTCGTTGCTTATCCTACTTCTATTCTCGTCTAGTATGTCTCGATTCTAAAGCGTTTATCGAAGAGCTGTTGTTAGAAAATTCATACACAAAGGCAAATTTAAAACCCCAACGTTCCAAAAAAGCCAATATGAAATAAAAACTCATCATCACCCACGACAATTTCATCAAGTACAAGCTTAAAGTTAAAGGTTATTTACGACTGTTGGTTATCAACACAAGTTTCAATAAAGGCTGAAAGGATGCCCAAATGGCTTTATCTGCTGTCTTAAAACGTACGTAAAATCTTCCTAAACAATTGCCAGGACTTGTTGATTTCCCAATATAATTTATCTTTATAGTATGAATCGCGTATGCTTCGCGTCACGAATTTTTCATCAGATGAATATTTCTTCGATCTTCTTTTTCAGATTTTTCCTTTCCTTGACAGTCTTTATTTCAGACTGCTTATTTCAGATCAACGAGGCTCTGCTAGATTAAGTGAGAAAGAAAGAAGAAAGGACGCAATTCATCTTTAACCACCGCGCGAAGACCGCTTTATTTGCAGCAGCAACGTGGAAGGTGGTTTTATACGATACGTGAAACAGAAAGGTTCAATTCAACCAACTTACTCTTGGGTACAGCTTCACTTCGATAACACTTTCCTCAAAGAACTTTCTTTCGTCAATATATGCACGTTTTAGGCGTGTGCAAGTATTTTAAAAAGATTTTTGGGGCAACCTAATATGACGCATAACACGAAAACTACTTTGAGCGGCCATGTCGCATGGCCGCTCAACTTCAAACAGTCTGTTGATCGTTTCCTCTTCAAAATTGCATGACTTCACCCTGAAAATTATAGAAAAAAGAACACCATTAGTCTAAGATTGTTACCACGTCGAAATTTCCACTTCATATCGTACTTGTGAGGAGGAAAACAGCGCAAATTTCGGGCGGGAATTTTCCAAACAACATGGCTTACCAAATTTTAACTTGGTCTCTTACCCCACCCCAAAAGGACGACGGACGTATAAGAGTCAGACAATGGTACTACCTTTTGATTGGTCAGTTTCCCATCAATCAAATCAACAGCAAAGAAGTTGTCAGATTAGAGACTGGGCCGAGGTAATCAAAATGGCGGCTTCATTTCGTGTTTTACCAAGGGAGCTTACCGTGGCTTCGTTCAGTAGTTTTGGAAAGTCATTTCACGAAACGCTGTTGAAATTTTGTTTACAGACGAGAGCTTTACACAGCTGCGGCTCAGGTCATCAGTCATGGCTCGTGCGACTTTCTTGGGTCACAGGTATGATACAAATTGATAACTTGATTGACTTGGCCACGACTTGACCAGCTGGAACAGAACTTTTATGTATTTATTGCATTTACTCCATATTACTTACAAAAATTGTGATTCAAATTGCTAAACAGGAGATGGAAGTAACCAAAAGCACCGCGGCGCCATACTAAGGAAACCGCCATGAATGAACTATTGCACTAAGTGCTTAAGTCTGTTTAAGCTATGTTTTAACACTAGGCGTAGTCAATCGATAACAATCGATATCGGAAATCAGTCGGTTCACTCGCCGATTGCTGTCGATTGATATCGACAATCGATAATGCACCAGGCAAAGTNTAGGCCTTATTCACGATAACTGACATGTTTGTTTTTACATTATAATGCAAATCAGGCATGTGATTTCTGAAGGGGCAAACAAGCTAAAATTGGCAAATTTCAGCTGGTTTCTTATCATGTGTGGGAATTTTTTTCATATCCATGCTTTGGTTTCAATATTGGGGTGAAAATATTCCAAGTTTTACAGAATTTTGGCACTTTTATGAAAAGAAAACAGCTCACGTAGTTAATAAGTGAGGTTATCAAGAAGCTTTTCAAACTTAAATTAATAATAAAATCATTATTTCATAACTTGGCTCCCAAAAGTGATTTTGGTGCAGATACTTGACCATTTAGGCAAGCCGATTTTCAGAAAAATGGGAACCATTTCAATGTTTGCCCCCTGGCGGACAACATGGCTAATTTGCATTATAATATGAAAACCATCATGGCGGCTATCGTGAATATTGCTTCCTCGGTATCCCAACGTGTCCGAACCGGGGAGTTTCTCTGCTGGAGGCTTGGAGTCTAGAACTGTGTGTTGCAAAGAGACTGGGACCAGCCTAGAACGCAACCAAAATGGCGGAGAGAAACATGAGTAACTAACTTGTTGCTCTTTAATCTATTTTAACCTTAGTTCTTGCTTGCCATCCCAAACCAGTTTGAAACATTTTGAACCAAATAAAATTGGAGCCTCGGCATATACCTTCGCTGGTAGGCGGGGACAAACAAGGACATTGGAATGAAACTACTTACCTGGGGGTGGGGATATTGGCTCATTTTTTCAAGTCCTTTTGTTCAAGTCCCCGCCTATTCCCAGGTTGGGAGCAGGAATTTACTTTGACCGATGCATAACCATAGAAAAAAATTTCTTTGTCAATTGCTATCGATTGGCAAAAATCTATAACAATCGATTATTCCTATCTTCAGGAATATTGATTGTTATCGATTTAAAAAAAATCAACAATAACCACCCGGACTATTCAAAGATGGCTTTGTTATTGTGTAAAATAATACTTGGAACAACACCAGACATTCATCTTTAGCATGCTACTAGATTATATTTTCCTTTTGGCCTTCTCCGAGATCTATAGCCATGTGTCTCTGAATATAACGATTATCATACAAATTATTGTAAAAAAGCAATTGATACAACTTTTCAAAAACTTTTGTATACTTGAATAAGCCTACACATGAGGCTGTCAGTGATGTGTCAATCTCATCGCCCAAGAGTAAAAGAAAAAATCATTTATCTCTCAGCATTGCATACTTGCATGGAAAAAAACAAGGTTTTATTAAACAGCAATGTGTCACTGGAACAAAAACTGATAGGAACTGTATGCTGGACTCAGGCTCTCATGGCCAATTTTCTATCTCTATTTTTGTCCCTCTCCCAACTGACTGACTCACTTTTATAAGAGGAAAGTAATGAGAAATGAAACATTTTAAGCCAAAGTTTATAGGGTCATGCGACACTCAATCAATACTCAATCAACACCTTGGTTGACACTTGATTGATATCTCAGTCAAGAGTCAGCTAATTTTTGCTGACATGCCATTGAGTGTCGATCGATACATATGAGTTGGTCGACGCTCGACTGACTTTTGACCGGCTGTCAAATGAGTGTGGATATAGTGTTGATCAAGACGTTGATCGAGTGTCAACTGAGTGTCGGCCAAGTATTGATCAAGATGTCCGTCAAGTGTTGATAGAGATGTCATTTGAGTGTCAGTAAGGGGAACGATCGCTAATTGACAGCGGATGCCTTCAGTACACATGATCCAGCTTATTATAAGCTTACATGTTGAGTGTCATTGTCAATATGAAAAAGGTTTTTGCTGTTCATTGGTCATTTTAGGATACAATAACAATTTGTTTGTTTCGCTATGTTATAACTTGAGATGAAGATCATGACATTTGGTAGTCTCCATCAGATGATGAAGTCATTTGATTACGCCATACCATTTATTGCCCTAATCAATACCAAAGCCTGAAGTGGCATCATGGAGTCCCAGCATGAATAAGGAGTTAAATGATGTTAACATATAAGAAGATGGTCTCGGACAAAAACATTTTAGGGATGCAAACTGGTCTTGGGGAGAATGTCATCGAGTCAAAAGCCAATTTGGTTTGTATAAACTTTCAATTGGCATTCTTTTCTGTGATGCCAAGCAAAACTGTGAAGCAACCAAGATGTTAAGTCAAGACAAATGCAAGTAGAAATTGTAAGACAAAGCCAGGTCATTTGTGTTTGTTTTATTCTCTTGATCTTGCACAAAGAGATGGGGCAAAAACTTGTGGCCTTAATTACCTGTTAATTTGGAAGTTGTATGTGTTGATTTCTCTTATTACTTGTAAAATTATAATTCTGTCAGGTTTCCTGAAAAGTAGATTTGATCTTTGAAAAGTTCTTGAATTTCTGTGTGAATCCTGAAGTACAGTCTAGATAACTGTGCACCAAAAAAAAAAAACCTAGGATTTTGTGCATGTGATTTATCAAGAATTGATTAAGTGGCCATTATAATTATGGAGAGTATTTTCCATTGACAGTTGGGATGTAGTTTACTGACCACTGCTTTTGTGGAGAGGTGGTTGTGGTAGAGACATGACATTAGAGTAGGAGTGTTATCATCTAATCTACGGTAAATCTCTAGGAATAAAAAGAAATGCTGTAGTAGAAAGGTGGTTGTTGTAAAGAGATGGCTGTCAGTACAGTACCACTTGAAATCATATGCATTTTGGCATATGTGAACCGCAAGGGCAGGACATGTGAATGTATTGCACATTGGAGTAAGAAGACAAAAATGTACAGTGCACGAACTGCAAGTCAGAGGGATGAAACAAAATAAATTCATGGGAAACATAAACAAAATCAGTGCAGTTCATGAGCAAAACCTGATGCGACGAAGAAAACTGTAGGTGGAAAATTTACCTTGGCCAAACAGAGGAAAGGCTGACACAGTAGGATCTACATGTAGGCTTGAAGAGGTTGATAACTGATAACTGATAAATATCTAGTTATAATAAATGTAGTTTTTTTTTACAAAGTTGTAACTGTACACTTTTTCATAGATAGTACATGAAGATTGTGATTTTTATTCACATACCTCCATTCTGCCTGAATGTAAGGAGAAATTAGAAGATGATCACTCCCTTTAAATAATATATAAACTGTTACTTCTGTTTTGCAGGAGCAACTCATCCTACACGTCGAAAGCTTTCCAACATGTCATCAAGCAGGGTCATCAGTCCTGTTATGGTTGAACTTCTCAAAAGCATACAATATGGTAAAGTTCATCAACAATTATGTTATTGAAACTGAAGTCTTGTTGTTATTAACTTGCAACTCATTATATGTTGTAAAGTTATGGCAGAGATCAGAAAGATAACTTTTTATTCCAGCTAACGAGTACAAGCACACGTGTATATTCTGTCTCGTCCTACTGCGCATGCTCAAAACCTGATATGTTTACATCTCCACCCTAAAAAACTGTGCCGGGTGAAAGAAACAAACTTGGTCTCTAAATTGGAACCTAAATAACGCAAGTATTGTTCAAATTGAATCCAACGCAACAAAATTCTCAGACGGCTAAGCCGAGTTGTTCTGATTAACAAAGTTTAAAGGTCCAGCCTTAATGGCTTCTTTACAACACGACCACTTCTGGTTGTCAGATGTTGGTCGGCACTTCCCTCACCAACTGTAGCTGGTTTCTGGGGTGTCTGGGGTAATCCTGGTGACGGGACTTGGTGAGATGTAAATGTAGGTGCACTGGGCTGTGGTGGATTGTCTTGGCTAGAGAGCAGTTGACCTTCAAGGCTTGGTGCTACTTGGCCTGACGGTTTTAACTGTATTCTGTTGCGCCTTAGTTCAGAACCACTGTTTGTCTCTACAATGTAGGATCTTGGCTGGTTCATTTGCTCTTTCAGTGTTGCCGGAGTCCAGGTCTTGGTTTTTGGTTGAAACACCGATACTGGTTGGCCTGGTACTAGCTTTTGTAGCTCACGTGTGGACTTGCCATCATGCTGCTGTTTCTGAACATCTTGGCGGTGCTGCAGCTGATCTTGGTGGCATTCT